AATTTGATAGCTACAAATATTCACATGTTCCATGTCATCTACATGAAGGTTCTTTCCAAGTTTCTACAATGTCTGCAAATATTTTACCGTAGAATTTTTTGTTATTGTATCATAATGCGTCGTCAAGATATCACGTAACATGATCAAGTTTGCCAACATTTTTAATTCCCAACAATAAATCATTCATAATTACCAGACTGCTTGAAATCTATGGTATTAAAGCATGGAGTTGACAATTTATTGCCACTTACTGCATTCAAGAAAAGAGGAAAAAAAAATAAAAAATAAATTTACAAAAAAGAAAAATAAAAAGAAATATAATTTTAGAAAAAGAATCACAAGCACAGGATTCATAGACATGACAAATGAGAATGCTAATCAGTATTCGTAACACTTACCATTTTTCATTGTGAATGCTTTCCATTTACACCTAAGGACATAAACAAAACAAAAAAAACAAAATCAAAGTAAAGATTAGATCATAAGTTGAACAAGGTAGTTTGTACCAAATTTTAACTTTTAAAATTATTTAGATAAGGTATGTGCATTTAAAGGATACAAACATGGATAAAAATGGATCGATTATTACCTAGGGAAGAAGTTCATAACCAAGGTTCCGTCACATGATAAACCTTGGCTCAAGTAGTTAATCACATTTAGCGGTAGAGATAAAGACGAGGATGATCCTCCTTGTGTCAACTGTAGATGCTTCAACTTGTGAAATGGAGAAGGATGACTTCTGAGAGAATCAGGATCCATTGCAAGAACCTTACCATATGCAAAACAAATAAAAACAGAAAATTAATTTGGACTCAATAGCTAAGACAATTTAAAGATAGCATTAGGCAATAACAAGTAGTAGTTGGTGAGTGCTTGTTTATTTTTATATATGATCCACACGCCTACAACAAATTGTACATTGTTATATATGAGGCTGGAAATGCAGCAAATAGCTACGATAGATATACCACAATTGGAATTCAGCATGACTATTTGTAACTACTCAATTTGATTTAAATGACTACCATACTATAGTATTTGGTAAAAATTGGATGGAACATCATAATCTATGGAAATGCACTACAAAGGGTATCATAGCAATCTTATTACTAATTTCAAAAAATTTCAAAAGCAAACAGTTTACTAAGATAGTTATTTGCCATCCTAGTCCACAAAGGTGAGCCAATTACTCCTAAAAGCAGTTATAATTTATAAACTAAGAAGCACCGCACCTCATGTGTGGCCAAACTCCTCCCCAAGAGTGAATAAACACATGGATATAATTTATTATTGGACAAGCAATGAGATTTGAGCTTAGAGTCTTTCCTTGTTTTATGCTATGTTTGAGAGTTTAATCAACTCAATGAAGTATAACTATGGCTTTTCATATCATTAACATTCTAGTGATAATAAATAGAAATTTAAAATCGATTGTCAAATGCAGAATGTAATTTAAAAAACAAAATAAACTACAAAAGCTACAGAAATTCCCAAAGTTGATTACTGGGGAAATTTTTTTTGCATCTCGAACTTCTTAAACAACCGAACTTCATAACTCCAAAATTGGGGAAGCTAGAAGTAAGCTCGGCAATTAAATTTTTTCGTCTCTGAAAGTGAAAGGCTGTAAAAGATGCACAACTAATAGACAAGGCTTTTAGTATATCCGATTCCTTTTTTCAGTAATCAAGGTGGAGAACAAAAGTGATATCTCAAGGCTTCACCGCATAAGAATTTGGTACGAATCAAAATGGTAAATCAATGCGAGAATTTACTACATCGCTAGCTCTTGGACACTTGAGGAAGGACTTCCAGTCCACATGTCATTCTCATACTTCTATCGACACCAGAACTAGAATCTGACTGAACCAATCAATTGCTGATGCATTCCCTTCATGGACATCAAAGAAGCAATATATGTAAGCTACCATCATTCCTCGAGTTCACCCTGTGAAACCCTAGCTAAAAAAAGACTTTTTTAATCCCTAGACAATGTGATGGGTTTGGTTCAATGATGTTGAATGGAGTCAGGAGAAAGCATCCTTCAATTCATCCACCGTAATTTCCACCCGCCCCTAGGAAGCATGGATATGGATACGATACAATACGGATACAGATACAGTGAAATTCCTGGTATTTGCGAACAGATGGCCTAAAAAACAAGACATCAGATAGCAGTAACTGTCGTAAAAGGGGTCACATGACCGAGGGCAATGTTGCATGTTCCATTTGCAATATGATTTTTGTGTAAAAGCATGCATTCAAGTGGTGATTTTGCTTTGAGATAAAAGCACAATTTCAAATTTCAATTTCACTGCAGCCATGTTGGCTAAATTAGGAAGGTGGCATGTGAGAAACTCAGCATAACATCACATCTTGAACTTACCAAATAACAGTAATGAATTTTTATAACATATTATTTAAAATCCTATGAGAGATGGTTCAACAATACAGTCAATAGCATCAATTACCTTAAGCGTCGACAAGGACAGTGTAACGGATTTTGCTTCTCGAAGCTGTCCAAGCATATTGATCACATTGAGTGGCATCCTTTCCTTGACGATTGAAGCAAGCTGAAACCTATAAAACATTGGGATTACATCGACATATACATGGTCCAAACAGGGAAAGCTGGCCGGAGAAAAGACAGGCGAAGCATGACCTTCGAACTTGAATGAAGTCAGTCTAGGTGCTGAAATCACAATCTCCGATTCATAATACAGTCCAAGAGAATCTTCAGCGTAACATAATTCCAACTTCCTAAGTTTAGGGGCAGTGATATTAAAACAATTAAGGTATAAGCAATCCAAAATCAAAGTTTCCAAATTGGGACAATTCCCAACAGTCTGAGTGATGAAATTGGCAGAGTCACGTCCGAAACGATTAAGATGCAAAGTCTTTAATGCCGGAAATCGCAAGGGCTTGTCCAGAAGCATACTATTGTTGCCACAATTGGCCAATTTAAGTTCTTTTAAAGAGGCATAGTTGAAGAAGCAGAGAGGAAAATCATCGAGCTCTGAATAACCAAATGCGTTGAGATGGAGTTGTTGAACATTGTGGCGAACTGCGTAAGATATGCATTTCTTGAACAGGCATGGGTCAACAAGATAACCGGACGAGAAGTAGAATATGTAGACATTGGAGTTGTTATCTCGGAGAGACAATACCTGATTGACAAAGCGTTTGAAACGAGACATACTGACCTCATCTAGTTGATCGAAATCGAAGCGGAGGTTGGGGAGGGAAGTCCAAACAAACCGCCATCGTTTTGACAGCACGCAGGTCTGAATTGCGGAGGCGAGGTCGTCCATGGAAGAGAGGATTTCGTGAAGAATGGAATCTGGTAAACTGCTAATTCTGTCTTTGTCTTCTTCTTCTTCTTCTTCTTCTTCTTCTTCTTCTTTTTCACCATCATCGTTTACTCTCTTTTTCCTCTGATTCCTCCTTCGTTTCATGCCTACTTTTTTTAGCAGTTCAAGCTTCTCTTTTTTCTTTCCTAAATAGAACATGTCTGATTGATATTCAAAGCACATGTAGCAGCCATGAAATGAACAGCATATTCAACAATTTTGCAGAGAGAAGTAATTTGAACAATTCAAGCGATGAAGTGTTTCCAGTAAGGAGCTTCCAAATTACTGTCAACAAGTCCGGCGGAGGACCGTTAACTGAGTCAAAGAAAGGATGTGAAGACCTTTTTCCATCACAAATTTTCCATCAACTTTCTTACCTAAAAGTAAAAACCCCAATAACAGAGTGATCATTTTCAATAATCAATTGCACCATCAACAATTATCATAGATAAAACAATTACTTTCTCTTAATAATTATGTGAAGAACATAAACTGAAAGTATCTATAAAAAGCTTGAAGATCTACACCTTCCTTTAAAAGCTCATATGCCTAATATCAACAAGCAGTACAGAAAATGATGGATCATAATTTTCTCATAAAATGAAGGTCTTTTCGAACACTCCATTAAAGATCACTTTGACTACAGAAGTATGATTAAATCCATCAAATAAAACTATCAAACATGTGAACAAAGTCAAATGAACAAAGGAGAGCTTTGAAGCACCCTGTTTTCTGGTACCTTCATCAACAACAACATGTCTAGGAGTCCTTTTTTTTAAAAAAAGGTCTTTATTTAGTAATGCTCAGAACTGGTAAACATTTCAGAAATAGGCGTTCACAGTACCAACACTAAGCAATATATTAGCAACATTCCATCTGGAGGTGATACTGTTGTAATTGAACAACACATATCGGTGATGCATTACATGGATATATATATATAGAGAGAGAGTACGAAGAGTAGAGAGGAGAGCAAGATTACAGAGAGAGACAGACAGTTGAATCGATTAATGTTTCAATTTACAGATTACAAATTAATCGATGAAGATACATCAAACATTACAAAGAGTAAGATTCGAGCGATGAAGATGAATCGATGAAGATGTGCCAAACATTACAGAGAGGGACAAAGAGAAGTGTTTAGGCTTACCGATTATGAATCTCGATTATGGATCGATCGAAATCTTCATCAACAGCAGATTGAAATCTTCAAATCTTCATCAACAATCGATCAAAATTTTCAAATCTTCTTCAAAGTGAGAGTCTAGTGAGAGAGACAGTGAGATTTGAGCGAGAGAGTCGAGCGACAGACATATTTTGAGAGAGAGAGAGTTCAGATTTGGGAAATAAGGGGAAAAAAGGGGGACGGGTCAAGTTTTTTTAGTGATTTGGGGGTTTTTTATTTTTTTATTTTTAAGAACACGGTTGGGTCAATTAAAAAGAGATTTTTTGCGACCGCAAAACAAACGGTCGCAAAAAGATAGACGTAGAAAGTCATTTTCCTAGTAGTGATATATCTAATGCAATACCAACAACAAAAGTAATACATTAAATAATAAGACGTGGTAAGTGTAAGTTATTACTTATTAAATCATAAAACTATTAAATAGTGCTTTTTCAAAGCCGACCTCCTATTATTTTGCAAATCAAAGGCACATGACAAACAAACAGTTCATCATATATAAAACAATAATAAAAGACTTATTGTCTTTATGCCGTTGATTTCTAAATCAATGACGAGGTCCATCGTTGTAATAATTTACAACTACTCCCTGTAGTTAATGATTTTATTTTTTAAAATAAAAATATTGGCCCATTGACCCAATACAGTATATCTTTCGTTATTGGTGTTGTGGACCCGTTGGTGGGTGCCTCTATTTGAACCTTTTATATCAAATCATCAATTCTAATTATGCAAAATGATATAGCAGTATATTTTTAGATCTATTTTCTAAATTTGATGGTGTGTAAATGAAATGATAAATTGATAATTAGATAATATATAAGATAGACAAATAACACATGAGAGTGATTGGTTAATTCATCATTGAATTTGAAAATTGAGTTTAATTTTATGATTTAACTAGAACTATTTTCCCATTATATAATGTTCTAAGTTGATCTGAATATGAGCAATATTAAAGATTTACAATTTGGATTTTTAAATTTACTTACAATGATATGGCAAGAGAGGTAAGTTCTACACAATTGAGTATATAGCAAATAAAAAATTCATGTATATGACCACATCATTATGGATCAAATCGTGAGAGGTTTTTGTGAATCTTAAGCATTTTCCCTCCAAATATTGTCACACTTTTTGCTATTCCCAAACTACCCTTGTACAACTACCTCCTATGAATCATGAGTATCAGATACTAATACTTTTTGAATACTCACATATACGTATTGGATACTTAATAAAAGTATCAGATATTTTTTAATTAATTTTTTTTATTAATTTTGAAGTATTAGATATTTTAAGTCACGTATTACTTTTACAAAATTTAAATCGTACCATTTCTTGTATAGTATTATAATATAATATAATTGTGAAGATAAATATAAGAATATAATTTTCAGTACTTTGCTTAGTTCTTTGATAATAGGAAAATTTATCCATAAATCTCATATACGAGAATGTTAATCCATTTAATCCTAAAAATTTTCTTATGAACCAATTAGTTCTTTTTGTTTTGAAAAGTTGTATTTATTTAATTTGGTGTCATTTGAGTTTAAGTAAATGTTCTTTTGTGATTTATTTTTTTAATTTTCTAATTCGTTTTCCGGATAAGAATGGAAAGATGAGGTGTAGAAGATTCTTTTTGAAAGTATTGGTGGTTGAAATGTTAATTGTTAAGCGTGGAAATTTATATTTCTTTTAGTGTAGTTTTTTGGTATTACATTGGAGTATTGCATTTGAGTACTACGTTTGAAAAAAATACATTAAGAATTTTTTGTATGTTACATTGATTGGAGTGTTATGTTTGAAAAAAATACATTAAGAATTTTTTTAGAATGTTATGTTGTTACATTTGAAAAAAGTACACTAAGAAATTTTTTAGTACATTATATTGGAGTGTTACATTTGGGAAAAGTACAAAAAAAAAAAAAAAATGTTACATTAATTAGAGTGTTATGTTTGGAAAAGTACATTAGGAATGTTACGTTGTTACATTTGATAAAAGTACTCTAAGGAGTTTTTTAGTGTATGTTATATTGGAGTATTACGTTTGGAAAAATACATTAAGAATTTTTTTTAATATTACATTGATTAGAGTGTTACGTTTAAGAAAAATGCACTAAGAAGTTTTTGTGGAATGTTATGTTGTTACATTTGAGAAAAGTACACTAAGAAATTTTTTAATGTATTACATTGTAGTGTTACATTTTCGAAATATTACATTGGAATGTTACGTTTGAAAATAGTACACTGGGGATTTTTTTTTTTGATTTTTTTGAAATGTTACATTTAGTGATTTTTACACATAACACATAACACACGCATAGGGGTGTAAACGGTTTGGTTTTATCGATGGTAAGAGTATATTTATCACCGAACTGATCCTTTCACGTATGCTACAATTCGGTTTTGTCGGTTTGATGTAGAAGAAAAATTTACATGAAATTTTAGAAGGTTTTATAATAGATTATCGAATTTTACATTGAAAATAAATGAAGAAAATATATGAAAATTGCTCTATAAATGTTTTTCTCTCTTATTTTTATCACAAAAGTGTATTATATTAATTACTTGTCATATAATGTTCAAGAAATTATACTATAAAAATATTTTAATGTAATATTTGGCAGTGGATGTTGTCCAAACCATGGAGAAGCCCGTATGGAAGTCTGGTGATAAAGGAAAAATGCTAAAGAAACTTAGACAGTATCAGAGGGAAGAGATTGAATCAGCTACAGAGGAGGAATGGTATGCTAGTGAAGAGAGCGATGTGAACATGATCCAGGTAGAGCCTAATGATGGCCTGGCCATGGCTACTGGGGAATGGTGGGAAGACAATGATTTGACCCATGCGTATACTGACGAAGGGTGGAAAACTGATATCCCTGATGATACTTGGTATACAGAAAAGATTAACCACATGACCCGAAGTGGTTAGTATTTCAAACCCCTAGCTCTAGATCAGCCATAATCCTCTAGGAGAGAGGCTAAGAAGTTAAAGGAAAAGGTCGTTGAAGAAGACCTGGTCCTGAAACAACTCAAGAAAATTCAGGCAGACTTATCAATTTAGGGGCTGCTGATGGCTTTCCGAGAGCACAAGCAGGCGCTGCTAGAGGCAATGAACAGAACGAAGCTGCCTATCGACACCACCATTGACCAACTAGTATCATTGGTTACGTTAGAGGATGTTTGTCTGGTGTTATCTTTTACGAACAAAGAGTTGCCACATGAGGATGCTAATCACAATCGACCCTTATATGTGGCCCTGGAGTGCCAAAAGAAATGGATTCCGGCGGTATTGGTGGATATCGGCTTAGCAATTAACGTATGTCCGGCAAAGACTGCTTACGCTATAGGTTTGAAGCCAGCTGATTTCACGCCCACAACTCAAGCTGTTCGAGCCTATGACAGCACCAACCGAGAAGTCTTGGAGACCTTTAAGAGCCAGATACTAATCGGCTCGTCTAAACATGATGTTGAATTCCATGTTATGGACGTCCTGGCGACTTTCAATTTATTCCTGGAAAGACCTTGGCTGCATCAGATAAAGGCAGTGTCATTCATAGTTCACCAGCTGGTGAAATATCCATTTAAAGGTGGGATTGGTACTATCTACGACAATTCTGCAATCCATCCTCCCTAGGGAACTACCACGCCTTTGTTAGAGATAATACATGGGAAAGAGGATGTGTTCCTCTCCAGTTTCTCCCTGGTAGAGGCCCGGCTGGTCTAATCTATCATGGTGGAAGACGATGGGAACTATGTGAGCGCCCAGTTCATTTACATGATGAACAAACAAGGGCATATTCTTGGATTAGGATTCGGTAGGAGTGGCAGGCAAGGAGGTACTGTTCCTAGAGAGATGAATCATATCCCCATGCTTTTAGGCTGGGGTACAAGCCTACTACCGAAGACTAGAAATGAAAAGGGGATGAGTTGTGAGGGAGACTGAAAGCGAAAAGGGCTGGGAGGCGATATGAACTAGTCCACAAGCCAATCTGGGAAACCCTGAATGGACGCTTTGTCCACCAAGGGGAAGATTTCCCTTTCTGTGGATTCCTAGAGCCACGGATTGACTGGGAAACAAAGACAAGGTACCCAGGGTTCAGGATTTTCTTTGGACACCAGTTACCGAAGGATGAGGATGAGTAGACTAACCTGAGCATCAATACAGAGCAAGATAGGACTGCAAGCTTGGACACCGACGAAGAGGAGCTACTAGGGAAGGCACTGGTTGACCTACTAATGGATTCTAATGCTGAGGCTAAGTCTATTAACTTGGGGGATAGTTTTACTATCTCTATGATCGGGGATAAACTAGCTACAGATTATTCTAGTCCCATCGTGGACGCGTTTGAGGCTCCATGCCTGGTCTGGCAATTTGAGAAAGGTATAGTTGGCTATTCTAAACTGGATAATGATTCTGAGTCTAATTCCACTGAGTCTGTGGAGTCAGGATCAGATTCAAGTTCTTCTAAGGAGTTCGAGTCTGGTACTTCCAGGGGTGGTAACCCGGATGCCAAATTCCTGTCAAGGTCTTCTTTCAGTTTTTCTTTTGAGTCGACTGTAACAGAGGATCCTGACTTTTTGAATGAAAACACAGTAGATTTCACTTACTTCTCTGTACCTTTGGTTTGTTGTACTAATCTTGATTTTTAAAATTTT